GAAACCATACTAGAACATCCTCAACACATATTAGAAGAAGTATCTGATGATGAGATAATGAATGTTGAGGAAGAAATATTCGAGAATGAGGAAAATGAATCATTTGATGACGAAGAATGGGACGATAATGAAATTGAAACGGGTGAAGAGGAAGAATGGGAGAATGATGGAATTGAAACAAGTGAGGAGGAATAGTATTAGAATGAAAGCTAGTATATGTAAGTTAATTTATTTTGCTAATTAATTTTATTTAATTTATGATTTTTATATATTTTACAGGTAAATTTGCATACAGATGTCATGAGGCAGTGACGGTGATAGATTTCGCAAACATCTTGGAGTTAGCGAGACTAATAAGGCTAAAAAGAAGAAGTCTAGGAGACCCATAGATCATGAGGATATTCCAGGATCTATTTCTTCTGCGCCAGAGCGCATAAGTCGTGATACTCATTTATTTGTTCGGTGCTTCCTCTACTTCACAGGCATTGCCTCCACGTCGGTACGAGGACCTACCTTTACAGGCTATTCGTCGAGCACGATCCTTATCGACAGGTAGGATATCGGATGGTACTCCATCTCCCACAGGTACATCTCCTCAGTTATCTGCCATGAGAATTGGAGATTCTAGTATAGAGCAGTCAGATGCTTTGGCCGGTACCCCTCCATTGACTCAGTGTTTTGTGTATCCTGGTGTATCACCTTCATCTACAGTTGCACCTAGTGCTACACCAGATGATGAGATGTCTGCTCTAGCTTCTGGCTAGAAGGATAGACTTGGTAGAGTCATGATTGAGCCGGATGGATCATCGTAAGTTTGTTTGTTATCTATTTGTTACTTTATTTTATTTATTTCTTATACTTTAATATATTATTCATGAACTAACATATTTATTATGTGTTTTGCAAGTGAAATCCTACAAATGATGCTACCTGAGCTTTAAAAGACTGTGTTAGAAGACTTTTTACACATGCTTATCACTCTTGGAGCGAGCTTTCAAACAGTATACGCCAGGCGATGTTTAATGAATTTAAGGTATATATTTTTTAGTTAAGTTTAATAATTTTAGTATACTTTACTTTTTTTTACTATAGATCTAATTAACGTTATTCAATTTTTTTCCAGACTGTGTGTACTTGGGAGTCGAGGTACTATATGGTCATTGTGACACATTTGAGAGGAGGGCATCCGCAAGACTGTCTAGCTGGCTAAAGAAAGTTTGGGATATTGATCAACGTCCGGGTTGGATGTTGTCTCATGTTTTTGATGAATTGCATCAGTATTGGAACACAAATAAGTTCAAGGCAATGTCCGAACAAGCCAAAAAGTCTAGAGGCAGTCTTAAGGGTAGCTCGTTGCACACTGGAAGTGCAAATTACAAGAGACGTGGTAAGTTCTAATTCAAACTTTTAAATAAATAATTAGTTGATTCATATATATCGTTATAAATTTCAGTTTTTATTTATAGGAAAAAGAAATGGGGCGCACTCCCATTGAACCAGAGTTTTCCAAGAGGACTCATGTGAAGAAGAAAGAAAATGAGTCGGATCCGGATGTGTGGGTGGAGCCGTGGAGGAAAGGGCCGAACGAACTTTTGTAAGTTATTTAATATGAATAATATATATTAATAGTGAATATATTTATGATATGTATATATATTGACGTCAATTTTTATATTTAATATGCAGAATGAGTTTAATCAGTACGTCGCTAAGAATCTAGATAGTTCGGTCCAACATCACCTGAACTATCCACCCAAATTTGGACAGAAAAAGTGGTAGGGGGACACACAAGGGTAGAGTCTATGGTTTAGGCTTTCAAAATGATGTAAGACGACTCCAGTCAGGCTTACAAGGTATTGGATCGTCACGTCAAGCTGAAGCACTTGACGGTGGTTAGATTGCTGTTATGTCGGCTCAAATAACACATCTTACATCGGCACTGGCAGAGTCGGAGCAGAGAAGAGTAGCTGAACAACAAAGCATGAGTGCGATCGTTCAGCAAATCAAAGAACAAGTGATGAACCTCGCTCATTGACGTACTACATCTTCTCCTGCCGAGGACACCGACGACGACTGTGATGAGGATGGTGATTTTGTAGATCGCACTCCCTAGTTTAGGTCTCTTTTATGAACTTTTTGAAATTTTGAAACAAATTTTAAAACTTTATAAGTCTTTAAATTGTGATTTAGATACTTTTGAAAGTTAATTTAAGTTTGTTGTTTTATGTTTTGTGTAGCTTCTTTATAATGTTGTGTGTTTGATTGGGCTGAATTTAATTGAATTGGATTGCATTTGCAGGTGGGCAGCAAAAAATGCCAGTTTCTGCTGTAAAAAATATTGCAGAAAAAGCGACGGACAGGGTGATTTTGTCCGTCGCTTTTCTGGGTATTTTTTTTAAAAAAACCTAGAAAAGCGACGGACAGAGTCCTTTAGTCTGTTGCTTTTCTGGATTTTTCAAAAAAATAATTTCCAGAAAAGCGATGGACAGGGTCCTTTAGTTCGTTGTTTTTCTCAGTTTCTAGGATTTTCAAAATTTAAATTTCCAGAAAAGCGCCGGGCTGCGTCGTTTTTTGGAAATTAAAAAAATGTGACTGAGTCCGTCGCTTTTGTTAAAAAAAATTCCTGAAAAAAATAATCAAAAAGCGACGAACATGACTACGTCGCTTTTCCGTCGATTTTGACCAAAAAAGCGACGCAGTCCGTCGTTTTTCGGCAGTTTTTTTGTAGTGGTGTTAGAATTAGTAATTTATATAAAGGTATTCATATTTCTAGAATTGTGGATTAATGACCTAAAAGAAACATGACATTTGAAAAGCATACAAAAACTAGTTAAATTGAACCTAACGCAATTACTTGCAACGTATTTTTCTCTGTTTTTTTAATTATTAAAACAATTTTTTTCCCACATTTTATACCGTATAAAACACTACATAACTAATTTCACATAACTTAATACGAATATTGCATCACTTAAAATAAAATCATTTTTTTCTTATATATGATCAACCAAACGTCATATTATTATCAGGGAAAAAGGTCTAAAATATATCCGAACTTTGACCGAAATTGTTGTTACGATACCGAACTTTATGGAGGATATTTTACCCCGTGCACTATTTAATAGTGTATTTCAAAGATATATATGTGCCCACGTGGACATCATAAATATTGCATCATTTTAAATAGTAATGTGTCCATGTGGACACATATATACCTTCAAAATACACTTTTAAAAAGTGCAAGGGGTAAAAGGTCCTCCATAAAGTTTGGTATCGTAACAACAATTTCGGCCGAAGTTGGAGTATTTTTCAGACTCTTTTCCCTTATTATTACAAAGGAATAATTATATCAACTAAAGGACATATTGAATTATTTAAAATACTTTTCTCGAATGGAGTTTCCTATGTTAACATTTTTAAGGAGCATATAAATTTTGACAATATATACAACATAGAAGTAATCGTCGTTAGCCGTTTTCATTAGACGATAATCCTTTTTTCGAACATTAATTAGTTTAGAAGAATATAATTTCACTAAACATATATCTTTGGAGCCAGCAATTTGTGAGTACAGGGACAAGAATATATTAAAATATTCACTAAGTAATTTCCAATGATACATTTCATATCAATAAATCGAATGAATTATGGTTAGAATTGAAAATTCGAATTCTGAAAAAGTTTTGAATTCTGAATTTGTCTATGAGGAAACACTCTCTTTCCCTCTGTTGTGTTGGTTATATATTGTCGTTGATGTTAGCCTGCGTTGATGATGGCATGCATAAATTCCAACACACTTTTAATTACGATAAAAAAAAGCTTAAAACACATAAACATATTTATCATAGTATGATAATGTACACTCTAAAATTAATATTAACTTCGGACATGAAAATGTCCTAAAATCTGGATAATTTTGGACCCAATTAATTCACTTGAATAAGTAGATACACTACTTGCAAAACTATGCCCCTCAATTTTGTTTTATTGCACTATGTCCTTATCTTTAAAAATAATTGGGTAATTAGGGTTGAAAATGGGAACTTGAGATCGATTTGGGGGAAGCCATTAGTTTGGAGGGTACAAGTGAAGTATATTAACGGCAGGAATATATAAGAATAACTTATTTTAAAGGTAAGATCATAGTCAATCAATAAAACAAAATTGAAGGATATTTTTTACCCTTTTCCCTAAAATTCTATGTATGTAAGGACTATATAACAAAACAACGTGTTTGTTTTATTGATTGACGTAAAATATCCGATACAAATAAGTTTGAATCTTTCACATGGGGGCAAATTACTATTTTTAGGTACTAATGATATCAATTCTTTCAAATTGGTAATAAACCTTTCGAATTAATTAATAGATCTAGCGTTCAAATTATTCACCAAAAAAACAATTTCCAATTATCTATCTATCACACATCTTGATTGCAACATGTCCTAACTTCATATATTATAAATTAAAAGCTTCACCACTTATTCTTCTTCTCCATAAAAAACAAACTAAACAAAACAATAATGAGTCCTCAATTATTTCTACTCCTCAAAATCACAACCCTAATCTACTTCTCAATCCTTCTACAACCAACCCTAATCTTTGCAAATTGTACATGTAAACCTCAAGACAACAAATATAATCATCAAACTAAACACAAAGCCTTATCCTACAAACTAGTAGCCATATCTTCAATCCTTTGTTCAAGTGCACTTGGAGTCTGATGGGGTTTTGGATTCTCAATCTGACTTTTTTTATAACTACATGAATGAGATGAAAGAAAAAAGGTTTAGTTTTCCTTAATATTTCCTTGATCTATTTTTCCTTAATTTTCTTTATCTTATTTTGCTTTTTTTTTATTGGTTTCTTTTCTAAAACAAAAATAGTTTGAGAGATTTCGAAAGAACAAAAATCATAGAATATGATTTAGGCATATTCTTTTGTCGGTATGTTTGTCTTTTTATATTATAAAAATACCCAAATTTTTTGTGTTGTCAATTATTCTGTATTTTTTTTCGTCATGTCATAGAGTTAATAATTCCACTCTATTTGTTCTGATTCAACAGATTTAAGGTTAATTACATAAACAACCTTACAAATTTATCCTAATCATAGCTAGTTATATGTTGCGAAACCTTCAATTGAATTAGGAGAAAAATAGAAACTTATAAATAAAAAACATATTTTACCACAAATATTTTCTAACCAAAGAAAATTGTGCAAAATATTTGACATACTAATATTCTGAAATTAATAATTCTTCAAATTTTGCAGGTTTTGGAGTTGGGAATTTTGGTTCATTCTGTGATTATTGGGATTTCCCTTGGAATTATAGAAAATCCAAAAACAATTAAACCTCTTATAATAAGCTGAGTTTTCATCAATTTTTTGAAGGCATGGGACTTGGTGGCTGTATTTCCCAAGTAAAATTAGTGAACTCTTTTGTCCATTCTAAATTAGTTGCCATATTTCGCTTTTTGAGAGTTCTGACTGTACTATACTTGATATATGTGCATGTGCAGTCAAAGTATAAGGCAAAAACAATCATAATTATGGTATTGTTCTTTACTGTTACTACTCCAAGTGGAATAGCTATTGGAATGATGATATCAAAAGGTTACAATGAGCAAAGCTCAACAGCACTAATTGTACAAGGAGTTCTTAATTCAGCATCAGCTGGAATTCTTATTTACATGGCACTTGTGGATCTTCTTGCAACTGATTTTATGGGACCCTAAATTATACACTAGTTTCAAACTCCAAATAATTGCCAATGTATCACTTGTCTTGGGAGCTTGTTGTATGTCATTATTGGCAAAATGGGGTGGCACATAATTTCAATAGATAAATTATGTATATAGTTTTAATTGGAAGAAAAATATACTAGCCGTTTGTCGTTAATTATGATATGATTCATCAGCTACTGAAAAAGCTTGTTGAATCTTGAAGGATATGCCAAACTTAGTCCATCACTATATGGACGAAATATCATCAAAGACTTTTCTTATACACACCTCAAGTTGATTTATGTTCTCCATATATAATTATTTTTTCCCCCAACTTCTTCTAGTTTCACAAGAATTTGACCATATATTATTATATCAACTTATGCCATCCCTTTGTAATATGATTCCATGATTTTAGAGAATAAAATGTGTAAAATATTGAGCTTTTTGCACTTTAGCATCTGTCAACTTGCAACTTGCAATAATGCACTTAATCAAAAATCAAGTTGCTCTCCTGTGAAACATGTCAAAAAGAAATTAAAGTATAATATGTTCATAGACTGCAGTAGTTATAATTAGCCTAGTCCGTGAATCTCACAAATAACATGATATTATCACGGAAGGCTATATCTGGAACGATAGAATTCCTCCATACTTAATCATAATTATGAATTGAATATGTAAAATCATGATACTAAATTTGAATTCGCACCAATAAACTCATGCACTAAAGAGGTTATGCTTCTCGCTGAGTTCTCATTCAAACCTGAAATTTCTGATTTAGAGTAAAGAAAAAAGTGCATTAAAATTTTGGAAAGAGATTTTATATCATTAAGTTAATAAGGTTGATATTTAGTGATCTTAAGCTACAATACAACTATTCTCTATTCAGGTAAAGACCAAAAGAGAGAATAAGGACAACTTATTTGGTCCTTCAATTAGTTTGTGGGAAGTGTTAAAAGGACACCATAAATACAGTTCACCAGGTCCAGGACTATAGTCTATAGAGATGTAAAGCAACTTTATTTTATAGTCAACAAAATAATAAAAAAGGTATCTAGTAATAGTGTTTACTATTATTGTGTCAAATCTTCTACAAGGAAAGAATAAATTAAACGGACAGAGTAAGAATTCAAAGTTCATGAGTTCTGAATTTGTCACCGAACCTCATTTTAGTTACCGAGTTTGCAATTAAGTATATTTATACATGTTTAAGGAATTTCCTAATATAGATACAGTCCCTCTTCTTCAGGAAGCAAATCAGTATTGCTTTAGCTGGGCACTAAGAATACAAAGAGTGGTCAAAATTGATTGTGTAATGAAATATTGCTCTTCATGAATCACATTCATCCATCCACAAATCTATCAAACAAATAATTCACTTAGCATAGCTACACGACTAGTTAAATCAATAATTTAAAAGAGACAAAAAGCTTTAATGAAAGGAGATAACCTGTTCATTCTGTAATGTTAAAACAGAGCTTAGCCTCATCCCAAGGGCCATTAATCTCAAACTTGTACTCTTGAATCCTTATCAGCCAGTAAGGACAAACCAAATTAACAAAGACAAAGATGCCCAAAAGCACAATGAAAAGCAGCTTATGCAACTGGTAAGTGAAGACTAGTGTCAGAACCAATAACTGAAGGGAGAAACAAATATGCAGCTTGAAAGAACGCTTCTTGACACAATATGTCACTAAAGGAGCAAAGAGGAAAACTTGCAAGGAGAATAGCACAATAGCAAAGACATGAAGCCTTGATGGAAGGCGAGAAGAAATCAGAAGTGAAGCCACGATCGAAGCATTCAGAGAGATATTGCTTGTCAGGGTTGGATTATCTAAAGCTCCAGGAGCCTTTACAGTGGACCCTGAGTAATTGTGCAGGAAGAGATGGAGTATGAGAAGGGAAGCTGTTAGTGCCCATATAGAATTCGAGCTTATGGACCTAGTAAGTGTGTGGTAGATAGGAGACAACATATATAAGGCAGTTATGAAGAAGGTATTCTTTAGGAGATAATTGAGGAGGAGATTGAAGGGTATCATGTCTGCAGTTAAAAGCAGAATAAAGAATCCCGATCCAAGTAGGCTAACATTCAGTAGCAAAAGATATTTTTCTGTCAAGGTATTTGTGAGGGTGTAGGTCCAAACCAAAACCACAAGGGCGACAATGCAAAGATATTGTGAGATAGGAACTGCATCGAGCACCACCTTCAATAAGTCTCTTTTGACAACATTAGCATTCATGATCATTTCCTCCAGGAAGGATTCATCTGTGTGATTGTCACCAAAGCCAGGTTGCATCCCACCATAAACAACTTTTCTCCATTTATAATGGGTTGGAGAAGAGCTTCCACTGATGCTAACTTCCATTTGTATCATACAATTTTACTCCATGGCATCTGTGAAAAATTAAATGATAACACTTGGGGATCCTAAATCACTAATCTCTCCTATAGTTTATAAGACAAGTTGGAAATGGAAAAGGGGAAACACAACAAATAATGCAACCTTGCTTGGGGTCTGGAGCCATGTAATATTTTAATCAGCACTCGCCTTTGGGATAAGAACATAATAATTTAAGTAACTGGATGTCGCTGTCTATTTAGTAATTTTTAAGTTAGATAAAGACATTGCAGACATTAAAACACATCTAAGAAAGAAAAAAGATCCCTGGCTACAGAAACTCTTTATCTTGCACTGTTTATCATTATTGAGTCTGATATCATCCAATTTCATTTTGCATCAATTAATCCCTCTTAATTGGTGAAATATAATCTTGATATCTTCAGCTTTTAGACTAATGAAGCATTTAAGTCTCCCTCAAAAAGTAAGATATAACTGCCTTATACTCTTTCTTTTTCGAAATGGCAAGTATAAATTTATTGATGTAAAGAAGTACTAAAATGGTGCTGTGATGTTACATCCAAAAGGAGAAAGTATGTCCACTTCTAGTTATATACATAACACACGGGCAAACTTCAAAGCATAATTCATATTTCAGCAAGGGCTTAAAACCAAAAGTACTATCAAGATTGTCTCAGGCATTAATACTTGAAAAATCAACTAATTCAATACTCAAACTCGACTAATCCCCTGTTTTTCAGCAGCATAAAAGTAGGTTTCTTTCAGCTCTAAAGACCAGCTTTCACACAAGCAGTATTTTGCAGCACAAAACAGTACTCTGCAAGCAAACTCTAACACAAATTACTACAAGCTCATTTTAAAGACATTATTTTTCTCTTGTGTACATCTTCAAGATATCTGACTTAGCTGTATTTCTTGATATGGTCTTAGGGGTTTGATTTAGAAACAAATGAATGTCCCTATTTTCTTGATGTTCTACAAAACTGAAAAGTATAATTATGCTTCAGTATAGCTATGAACAGTTTCTCACGGTATTTAGCCTGATCATCAATTGGTTTAGACTGAAGCTTCTTTTTAATGAAGTTGAAGCTCATTATTGTTTTTTTGGAATATGAGTATCCTCAATATGACGCTTCATAGTTTATGTTCCGGCCACATAAATTATACCATAAACCTTTACCTTCCATCACTACTACGAGGCAATTTCACAAAAGTATCCTAAGCAACAGAAGTTTGCCTCTTAGCTCATTTAGTAATAGTGGAAGAACCTATATCAATATCCTATATCACAAGAATCAGCAATAGCTTACATAGACATCTCTACCTAAACCAATAATTATAAAAATGACAGGTCAAAGAATTTGCCTCTCCATCTTCAAATAAGAATCAACTGCTATAGTATATTGTTTTACCCACTGCAAAGGTGTTATAGAACTATGATATGGATAAACTCTTACCAGGTCTAAATTTTCTTCGGAAGTCGTTATTTCCAGATAGGAACTACATCTGAAGCAAGCATATGTTTCCAGGAGGATCTAATTTCTAGCCAGAAAGCCTATCAATAGTTACTCTAAAAATGCAGACAGCAGCTCCAGAGCTTTAAGTTGTTTGTTTGTAGTCTTTAATTGACACAAAAAATAGAGGAGAGTAATAATTTTTCTCTGATTATTTTACTTCATGTTATGTAGGATTTAAAAAAAACAAGATTATTTGACAGAATAAGAATCATTTCATTCCAATTTTGTGAAGAAAAAACTTCATCAAGTGGCTTAATCATTGAAGCTGAACCGAACAATCAACAAATCTTCCAACGACTACATCAATTCCTCCAAAAGCAAACCCTGGTCGAGTTAGAAAACAAAAGGGAAAAAGAAATCCCTTTTGTAGCTTTATGCTGCATCATTCTCAACACTGAAGAAAAGCAACTTGGAGCTCCGGGAAAAATGATAATGGACATAAATGTTTACAGTCATGTCCATTCGTTCAATCGTTCACATTATGGAATCAACTAATATAGGGAAGTAGAATCAACTAAAACCCACAATCCCGACTCTTTTGACCAACAACAGATAATATACGTAACATATCTACATCACATCCCCTTCTAAACCCATCAACTTTTACAAAATCCCAATTCAACTTTAGCTAATTTAATCACACATCCATATAAAAAAATAATATTTTCACCAAAAAAAAGCACTACAAGACATGATTAAAAAAAAACAAACATTTTGCTTCTAACAAAAAAAAGAAGAAGATGAAAAGTGAAATTACCTTGCGAGTAAACCCGAGATTGAATGAAATTCGCTCTTAGGCCAATAGAAAACAGGATTTGTACGAATTAAGCCTGCATTTATATGCCTATAGAAGATGATTGATGAACTTGAATTTTCAGATTTCGCAGGAATCAATTTTTGATTAGCGGGTCGGGTTTTATTGGGTGGGCGAGTTAAGAAGAAAATGTCACAAGTGTGTGTAAAAAAATTTAAGTGGGGATATAATAAGTTGAATATTCTGAGTAAATATATTGAAAATCGAAGAATAAATACATTTATTTTAAAAATGAATGGGTAAATTAATTTTATTTTATTTTTGGAATTTTTATTATTACAAATGTTAGAAGATGCGATGTTTTGTTAGTAATATTAAATAATAAATAAGTAAATATTTGAGTCAAATTAAATGTTATTTAAAATATTATTTTTTTTAAAAAAATAGATTTTTATAACTTTTCAATGTAAAGACATAATTTAAATACAAACTTATAACGAACATTTGTGTGAATTAACTATTTTTTTTATTACTAGATATCTAAATTGTCAATCAAATAGAGATTGTTTTTTGAATCGACCAAATACATCAACATTTTTTTTAATTAAGAAACAAAAACCACGTTTAATGTGATTAGTTTAACTTTTAGTTATCAATCATGTATACATAAAGTACATTCAATTAAATTATAGGTACGAAAAAATAATTGTAAGAACAATTTTTCTGAATTTTATATGGCATTAATTAGACTTTAGAGTTGAGCTCTCGATCTTTTGGATTTTGTATTATGAAAAAAATATATGCATCATTATTTTTTCTAAAGAAATCATAATACATAAACAATTAGATGGTAGAGCTAGAGCAACAACAAGCACTAAACACGAAAAAAATAAAAATTATAAACTAAACTTGATAATACATTAAGAGAAGATAATTAAGAAGAAATATCCTACTATCATATAAAATTCCTCCAACGTAGAACAATAACTTCGAAAATTCTAAGTGTTAATAAGTTGATAAAAAAGACATTATTTTCATCTCTTTGTGATTATTTTAGGAACCTTTGACACAACTAATTATACATAATCAAATAAGTCTATCATACAACGTACAAAGATAGTCTCTTATTCCCAACAACAATTGCAAAGGAGCTCAATATTCTTGAGTTTCTTAAATTGAATATTGATCCATTCCATTTGTTAATTAAGTTTTGAGAGATTTAATTTACTGGTGTTCTCGAGAGATCAAGCATTAATATTGAAGCTTAATTTGCAAACATTTGGTCATTTTTATAGTTGACTATTCGTGAAAATGCCTATAAAATAGAGTTATTAATAAATGATCAAAGTTTTAATTTTCAAAAGTTTGATTCCTTGTTACACTAAAGTTTTGAAACTCTTAAACCAAATATCAAATTGAAGAATCATACTTTAGGATTAAAAAATTATATCCAAATCGCAAAATTTGAACTAAAAAACGAATTAATTCAATTCAATTGGACTTTTCAATATTTATATTCACCTCTAACACGAATCCAATTTAGATACAAACATAAAAAGATAATATCTCAGTCCCTATTTACTTGTTAAATATTTGTCATCTTTGACAAATCAAGTAATGACAACTTTTTTCTATTATACCCTCAATTTATCAACATTGAGTTAATATATTTGAAAAATATAATAAGTAAATATAATTGGTCCCTATCAATTAATAGGAATAAAATAGTAAACTCATCGTATAAGCTTAAAAAATACTCCATATAAGTAGCCATGCTCTTTTTCCAACAAAATACTAAAATCTACTTATAAACTTTTATTATTAGGAATTGACTCCCTCCCTCTCCCGTTTTTCTTAGAAATCCGGGACTTTGAATTAAGGGTGACAAAAAGGTGTCAAAATAAAATGGCAGTGACATAAGTCTTTATTATTGAGTGTAGGTGACAATTATGTGATTAAGGATTAAGGATTGTGGAGTTGCCCTCAAGTTTATAAGTTGGTAGTTTGGTCCATTATATTAAATGAGGGGTAAAAGGGTAAATGACTAAAACCTAATTTAACCAATTTTGGTGGGAACCAAAACTGGAGGGAAGCTAGGGAGCGGAACCAAAAGGGAAAATAAAAGCTTTTTTTCCCCCGCCTCCCGCCGTATTCCTCTTCTTCTTCTTCTTCTATTTCGTTCTTGTTTGCTTGCCTTTCTTCCTGTTCTCTTCATCTTCTTGTTCGTACATTATTGGTCTTGACTGCTAGTCCTTGTACTTCTTCTTCCTCTTTTCTTCTTTTTGAATCAGATTTAGCTAATCTAATCAGTGGTCCAGATTTCGTTCTATATCAATTGGGATTACTTCATAAGTGATTGTGTTCACACCCCATTGTTTGGTAAGTAAGATTAATAGTTATTTGAATCATTCATCATCATCTGGGTATAACCTGCAATTTTTTCAATAATTTATATTCGTGTTTTCAACAGATGGCTATATATGTTGCAACAGTTGACTATTAGAACAAATTATAGTCTCATGTTGCAACATAAATGTTATTTCAATCGCAACAAAATAGACATATGTTGCAACATATAACTTACACATATTGCAACATATGACTTACATGTCGCAACAGAATAGTCATATGTTACAACATATGACTTACACATTTTGTTACAACATGTGATTTATGTGTCACAACAAAATAGTTATATGTAGCAACATATGACTTATATGTCGCAACAAAATAGCCATATGTTGCAACATATAATTACACATGTTGCAACATGTGATTTATTTGTTACAAGAGAATAGTTATATATAACAACATATGATTTACATGTCACAACAGAATAGTCATATGACTTATAAATTTCTTCATTAGTACTAATTATTTTTTTAATTAATTTCTTCAAGTACAATAAATGGAGGGATTATTTGTAAGGATTGATTGTTGTGGTGAATGGGTCGAGAAGAAAAATTGATACATTTGGCATTGGAAGGATGGGAAGAAACGGGGAGGGTCGGTAGGGATGACTGTCGAAAGAAATATTTTGTATGATGATTTTGTGAATTTAGTCATCCAAAAATGTGGATTCAATTGTCAACCGAAAGATGTTGTCATGAGTTACATTCCTAGTTTTTTTTCATAATGAGAAGGTCTTACCTTTTAAAATAACTGATCAGCCTAGTTTGCTTGTTTATTTAGGAGGAGCAATGAGGCCTATATTAAGAGTCTAGGTGGATGAAAATCCTATCGAGGAGGATCATAAGCTAGAAGAAGACTAACAACATATGTTAAATGATGAATTTGATGTTGTGGACATGAATAATCACGATGATGAAATTGGAAACGATGAAGTACCGGACTTTGAGAGCAACAATCCTCCTACACCTATTATTGGCAGCAACAATCCAACTTCTTCTTAATCATCACGTGTGAATAATGTTTGAGATGATGAAACCGATTTTTATAAGGGAATGACATTCAAGAACAAAGAAGAACTAGCAAATTCATTGAAAAGTGCTTGCTTGAGAAAAAAATTTAGACGGAAAAAGGTGATCAATTCTCGTAATGTGTTTTCTTTTAAATGTTCATATCCGGAGTGCAATTGGTGGCTAAGGGCTGTGAAATTTACAAGTAGCGACTAGTTTGTCATTAGAATTTATGAAAAGTATCATATGTATGGTTCAGAGCATCTTACAAGCCATAATTCGCATGCCACGATAAAAGTCATAGGTAAGTACTTTGAAAATAGGTTTCCCAAATGGTAAAAGGTCCATCCACAAGAGACATGTCAAATCAACTCCGCACAGAATTAGGTTGTAAGGTAAGATATTGGAAGATTTATAAGGGCATGGAGCATGCTAAGTCTTCGGTTAGGGGAACACATGAGCACGGGTATGCAGTGCTTAATGCATACCGTTATATGCTTGAGGTTGCAAATCCAGGAAGCAAGACGGCATTGTCACTTGATGAAAATGGAAGGTTCAAGTACTTCTTTGTATCATATGCCGCTTGGATAATTGGTTTTCAAGAAATGAGAAAAGTAATAGTCGTTGATGGGACATTCCTGAGGAGCAAGTATGAAGGAGTTTTGCTATCGGCGGTGGCACAAGATGCTGAGAATCATATATTTCCAGTGCCTTTTTGTGTTGTAGACAAGGAATGTGATGCCTCATATGAATAGTTTTTTCAAAATATGAGAAGCTTTGTAGATGATACTGATGAGTTGTGCATTATTTCTAATAGGCATCCAAGTATTCGAAAGATGGTTTCGACTATCTACCATGCATCTCATTATGGTTGTTGCATGAGACACCTTGGGGAAAATATTCGAAATAACTTTCACAATTCAACGGTAGTGTCCCATTTTTATAAAGCAGGAAAGGCGTACGATAAATGTGAGTTCAATGACCATTTCAATCAAATAAGAGATTTGGTACCAAAGGCGGCTTAAACTCTTGAACGTACTGGATTCCACACATGGAGCAGGGCATTTTGCCCAGGAAATAGGTACATTATTGTCTATACCATCTCGTTTGAGTTTATTGTAATTTTATATGTTTTGATTGATTTTTTTTTTGTAGATATAACATTATGACGTCAAACATCGTGTAGTCGGTGAATGATATGTTTGATGTTGAAAGAGAATTTTTCATGTCACTCTATTTGATGAAATAAACAGGAGATTTGCACTTTTATTTCACTAGAGGTGTATGGAGCTGGTGAACTCTACAAATAGATTTGTTCCTTCAATTGAAAAAGACATATCAAAGTATGTCAACACGGGCAACAAGTTGTTGGCTCATCAAATTGCTAACTACAAGTTCAGTGTCACTGGTCATGGTGATGTTGCTACGGTGGATCTACAAAGAAGAACTTGTACTTGTAGAATTTTTGACCCGGACAAAATACCTTATCCACATGTCATGGAAGCACTTCGATCCCAATATGGTGCCGATTTTGGAAATCAGATT